GGCAGGAGAGGTAGAATTGGACAGGAGATGGAGTGGCACTGAGCTGGGAATTGGGAGTAGTGGTGGGATGGGGGCGGGGATGTAAATGGGAAAAGGGGGAGGGACAGGGAATGGGAAGAAGAGTTGGGTCTGAAGATTTAGAGATCTGGGTGGACCGACTTGGGGAGGTTTGGGAGTGGAGTGTGTAAACGAGCAGTCTGGGAGAATGGTGTAGAATTTGCGGGAGAAATGGGGCATCTAATGTGAATCAAGGGAGACAAGAGGGAATGATAGTAGAGATGGGTTAGGAAAAGGGATGAGAAATGATTAAGAAACAGAGTAAGGAAACTGCGAGGGATATTACACAGGGATAAGACAGGAAATTAACTGAATGATGAGAGGGACGAGGACGACTGACCAAGCGTCAGAGGGAGAAAAACAAGCTGTTAGGAAGAGAAAGTCTTTTGTTCCTATATTTGTGTGTATTCTGTTTCTTTGAAGGCTAACGAACAGGGAAGCTAGTGGTTATGGTGCTGTGATTGGTGTGAAATGGGGAGGTATGGGTTTTACTGCGTTGAAGGAGGAGGAGATGTGCTTATGTGATGGTAGGGAGATGGGGAGAGACCTGGCCACAATTTGATGGTTTTGGTGAAGGAGTGAAGACTATTCCCATTTAAAGGGGGCAGGGGCAGCCATGTTTGCTGCCAGGCACTGCAGTGTAAATAAATTCCATCTCCTTTCCGACATCAATATGAATCTGGAAGGGACCTCTTTCTTTTTCTGTTCACGAGCTGTTCCTTTACATCTTAGGTCCTGTAAAATTATTCATAACCACCAAAAGAGGTAGTGACGTTTTCAGTCTTGTGTATTTTGCTGCCCACCCCCTGGCTCCCTCCCCCCATCCCCTTTCTCCATCTGGTTGCAATTAAAGCATTGTGGTGAACTGCAGTGTAAAAATTAACCCTTTTAATAAAATTAAAACTGGATTTTTTATTAGTCGAAGAAATCATTACTACTCTAATACTTCAAACCTGACCATGATAAGTCTTTCAAATATTGGGAATTCGTTTGTTTCAGAAGCCTCAGTAGCAGTCAACATGTTTTCTGCAATTCTTTAAGTAAACAAGGAAATTGCATCGGTTATTTTACTTGGGCCTGTGCTCTTGGCAAAGCACAGTGTGGGGGTGTGAGAGGGGTAGGAAGATCTTGTGGTAGATTATCTGCTTGTTTTATTTTGAATGTTGGAAAATTAGACGTGTGCATTTTTAAGGGGTGTTTCTGATAGCTTGTACATGATAGGTGTGTTACAAATAGTGTTTGCTTTTTCATGAAAGCTCTTCCTCCCCCATCCCTTCTTTTAGCTTTCATGTAACTAGCTCAATACAATCTCCAAATGCCAGGTTAGCACAGTGCAGTGATCTGTGAAGTAATAAGCATGCAGTTCTTAGAGCCTCATTGAGGTGCCAATTATTTTTAGTTAGAACTTCAGGTTACTTTGAGGAAAACTCTTTAGTGTATCCAAATGTAATAACTTGTGTGATTTGAAATAGTTGCTATTCTAAAGGCTTAAATCCGGACAAACTTAACCTTAGATAAATTGTTATGAAATATTTTAAATATTAAAAGAAATAAATGTGACTTTTTGGTTTTGGTTTATAGTTATAATTAGAGTAATCCAAACTTTGTTACATCATATTGATGTGAAAACTGTTCTCTAACCAGGATGTCCAGTTAAAACTGCAGTATGATTAAAACCAGTTGTACTACGTATTGATTTAATCTGCTTTAGTGGCAACCGTTCTCTCAGCTTTATAGAAGTTTAGGATGTGTTCTCAATATGTTGTAAAAAGGTCAATTAAGTGCTTTATGAGTGTGCTTTTGGTGTAAAGGCTAGATTTAAAATTAACTCAATAACATTTAGTCTGGAATTTAATTTGCAGGTGAGTCTTATTTTATTTCTTCCATGTGATTGAGGTGCTACTTGTGGTTAATTGGTAATTTCTGTTCACAAATAGTCAATGATATACAGTGAGAAAAATGAGATACGTATTAAAATAGAAAAAATGATATCCAAGGATTGATTTACTCAAAAATATGTAGCCCTATGTATTAAGCATAGGGTTCCTGGCCCAGCTATCATGAATATGTGAGTATTCTGGTTTCTTGGACAAATATTTATATAATAAAAGACAAGGCTACTCTAGTTAGATTGCACATACGTAAAGTTCAAAGTTTGGTTACCATTTTTATTAGCCCATCCACTATTACCTGTGATGGCTTTTTTTTTTTTTTTTAATAAAATGCTCTCATGCACTGATCTTATTGAATGTGTTTTAGGTAAAGGAAACTGCTTATCTGTGAATGGTAATTCCTCAATGGTTAAATCTGTTTACTAGGACACCAATTTTTGGAGTTCATAATAGATTCACAACAGTCATAACAATAATACAGATATTGTGCTTTACAAAGTGCTTTGCTAATTATCTTTCATATATGATCCTTTTTTCTCCCAACAGTTTCATGAGGTTGGTCTTCATAATAAAGGATACTTTCACATAGAGAGAAACTGAATCTCTTTGTATTTACAAATGCAGAAACAGGTTAAGTGATTTGCTAATATCTCACTGATGGTGAATAAAAAAGTTACTATTTGAACCCAGGTCTTTTCTAATTACAGATACTGGCTTAAACTTTTAGTTTCTTTAAAATTATATAAAATGTTGCTTTTGGTCATTATTTAAATTTCTTTTGAAAAAGTATAGAAGACCAAGAAGTTAAAAAAAAATTAACTCCACCATTCCATTGTGAAGTTTATGTGTCCTAAATAAATTTTGTACTTATGTGTATCTTTCTTAAAATACATACACCGTGTATACTTGTGTATAAGCCAAGTTTTTCAGCACATTTTTAATACAGTTTTTGTGGTAAAATTAGGTGCCTCGACTGATATTCAGGTCAGCTTATACTCCAGTATATACGGGTAAGTGGAGTTATGCTGTCTGTATTTTTGCTTAATTCACCTTAACAGGCTATCTGGGAAATCCTTTCAAGTAAGCATATGTTTTCTTTAAGGCATTGTGGTATTCTGCCATTTGGAATATTGACATTTAAGTTATTTCCATGTTTTTACTATTATAAGTAATATAGTATGCCCTGAAATAATTCTCTAACATCCTGTTTGCAAGGAAGAGATATTGTTGAACTACTGTATTTTACCAGAGAGAAAAACAAGGCTAGAAAGGTTAAGTCCAGGATTTTGGTGACAAACCTGTTACTTTGGCTCTTTGTAAGCATGTCATATTACCTCCTTCTTGTGAAAGGATTTTTTTGGTCTTATTCTTTTCTATGAAAGCTCAAGGTGAAAGGGACTACTCAAGGTTAGAACTGATTAGGATGAGCTAGCATGTGAATAAGTTGCAGTTATGCAAGAGATCTTGCTTGTACTTTTTAATACTTTGTTTACTATGTTGTACATAATGAAGAGAAGTCAAAAAGTACTGCTAAGTAGAGTTTGTTTATACACGCACGGATTTACTTCAAACAAAACTTGTATAAACATGTCTGTGATCAGTGGATGGCTGCAGACAAGTTCTCTTAGTAATACATTTGTCTTACTTGGTCCAATCAAGAGTGACTTCTGAGGGGATCTTCCAGGCCAATTAAATTCAAGATACAAATCAGCTTACAAGGTTATGGTGACTTTTTTGGCTGTCAAACACTGATAACGTTTCTGAACGGACATGGAGGTCTTATTAAGAAGTCATTTTTAACAACTGAACGTTCCATTGTTGAGAAAAAGACCAGGAAAGTTGCCCCAAAGAAATGTTTGCCATCATGAG